TAACAGATTTACGACCGGTGGGCGTTTAAAACCTTTTAGTGGATTTCATGAATTAAAGTTTTTTGTTCTAAACTGTAGTGTTGGTTTGATTACATGTTGAGGTCTTATTATTACCTGATATGTATGACATGTTTTACAGAACTGTGCTACAACTTTATGACATTTTGGCCGTGTTAAATACCTCTTATTCTATGCTAGAATTTTCTGTATTCCTGTATGCCCTGCCATAGGATTTACATGTGCTACTTGTAATATTACCTGACAATATCTGTGTGATACCACGAATTGAAGAACAAACATTCATTCTTTCTCTGAAAGTCCATCAGAATGTCTCCACTTCCTCATCAGAATTCCATTTTAAATGATATTAGCACTCTGGACCTCCTTCAATCAGAGTTTCAGTGTGAGCCATTCATACTCACTTACTAGTCTGCCTGTTCTTGCAATTGTTCTGTCTCCTTAGCTTCAACTGGATATTTTGTGATTATTGACAAAGCTATAAATTTCGCTCCTGTTAAATTATTCCCCAGGAATAAATCAACTCCATACACAGGTGATTTCTTGACTACCCCGATTCCCATTAGCCTAGACAATGGGACTTTGTACTCTGAAACCAGGATATACCATTTACCTGTCTCTTTTACCAACACTTTGGCTTTCATTAAACTCTCTGGAGAAAAATGAAATCCTTCTCCATCTGATCTAACCTTGTTAACCAGTCTACCGTGCGAAACCTTGTCAAAAGCCTTACTGAAGTCCACATAGACAATGTTCACCACTCTGCCTTCACCAATCCTCTTTGTCACTTCTTCAAAAAATTCAGTCAAGTTAGTGAGACACAATTTCCCTCACTCCAAGCCATGTAGACTATCCCTAATCAGTCTTTGCCTTTCCAAACACGTGTAAATCCTGTCCCTCAGAATCCCCTCCAACAACTTACATATTGATGTCAAGTTCAGCAGTCTATAGTTCCCTGGCTTTTCCTTACCTCTTTTTTTCAATGGTGGCACTACGTTAGCCAACCTCTGGTCTTCTGGCACCTCACCTGTGGCTATCAGTGATACTAATACTTCAGCAAGGGGCCGAGTAATCACTTCCCTGGCTTCCCACAGAGTTCTAAGATATACCTGATCAGGTCCCAGGGATTTATCCACCCTTATGTGTTTTAAGGTATCCAGCATCACCACCTCTGTAATATGGTTAGTTTTCAAAATATTGCTATTTATTTCTCCAAGTTCTCTAGCTTCTATATCCTTCTCCAAAGTAAACACTGATGCAAAATACTCATTTAATATCTCACCCATCTCCTGAAGTTCCACACAGAGGAGGTCTTGCTGATCATTAAGGGGCCTGTTCTCTTCCTAGTTACTCTTTTATCCTTAATGTATTTGTAGAATCTCTCTGGATTCTCCTTAATCCTTTTTTTTTTGCCATCATTACCCCAAGAAACCTCATCAGACAGTAAAGCATAAATTTCATGTGATTTATCTGTCAACTGAACATTGTCCAGTCTTCATCTGCCCAATTCATTTGTCTTTCTATTTTCTTGCATGATATGAAGAATGTCTCCATATCCTTTTCCTCAAATTTTGGTAACGCCTGTACAAACTTGGTGGACTTCAATTTATGACTCAGATTTTCTCCAGCAGGGCCTGCATCAATTATCTGACATCTTCTGTTTCAACAGAATCATTTTTAGCTTATGTTTATGTTCCTTCACTTTCTCTTCTCTTTGCAATTCTAAAGCTAGTTTTTGCATTTCCATTTCCTATCTTCTTAATTCCCTCTGCCCTTCCTTATCTTAGCTATCTCTGTCTTTTTATCTCTAACAGGTAAAACTTCCACCAATACACATGCCAAGTCAATCAAGCTGGTCCTTGAAAGTTCCCTCTCAGTGATAATTACTATCTGCAGGAAATCCTTTGCTGTTTCCAGTGCCATGTCTTGGATATAGCACAGAACCTGAATGTTCCTTCAACAGTAATGTATTAATATGACACCCACATCCTCATTGCCTCTGTTTCAAACCAATCCTGTCAAGAGCACCCAAACTTAGTTATGCCTTACTGGATTTGTGTGCTGGAAATCAAGTCCTGCTTTTCCTAGAGTTGTCGCAAAAGTTAAAGATTTTAATAAAATCCATAAAATTTCTTCATTGACCATATTTTAGACACACGTTGACCAAAAGCATAGATCAGGTTTCTGTAATTAACAAAAATTTATTATTATTACAAATCTATAGATTCCAGATATAGATAAATAATTATGAACTTTTGACTACTAGTTAAAACTCTCACCCCCTTATAAAACACTCCTTACAGGCACATACAGATGGATACATTTTTAAAAATGGGTGTACAGGATGGAGGGAAAGACTGGAAAGGTTGTTCACTTTTATAGACCAAGTATTGTCTTGATTCTGGACAAATCTCCATTCATATACCTGACTCCTGCTTGTCTGAAATAACACAGTGTGGAGCTAGAGGAACACAGCAGGCCAGGCAGCGTCAGAGGCGCAGGAAAGCTGACATTTCGGGTTGGGACCCTTCTTCAGAAATGAGGGAGGGGAAGGGGTCTCTGAAATAAATACAGAGAGGGGGGCACGGTGATAGCAGGTAGATAGTGGAGCGGATAGGTGGGAGAGAAGATGGACAGGTCAAGGAGGCAGGGATGAAGCTAATAAAGGTCAGTATAGCTAGGTGGTGGTGGGGATTGGTCAGTGAGGTGGGAGGAGCGGATATGGGAGAAAAGACAGACAGGTCAAGGAGGCAGGGATGAGAGGGGGGCTGGTCTTGGGATGAGGTCGGGGAGGGGAGATTTTGAAGCTCGTAAAGTCCACATTGAGACTATTGGGTTGTAGGCTTCCAAGGCGAAATATGAGGTGCTGTTCCTCCAGCACCGGATGGCATCGTTGTAGCAATGGAGAAGGCCCAGGATGGACATGTCATCCAGGGAGTGGTGGGGGGGAGTTGAAGTGGTTTGCCACTGGGAGGTGTTGTTTGTCGCGAACCGAGCGTAGGTGTTCTACAAAGCGGTCTCCGAGCCTCTGCTTGGTCTCACCAATGTAGACGAGGCCACATCAGGAACAGTGAATACAATAAACCACATTAGCGGATGTGCAGGTGAACATCTGTTTGATGTGGAAGGTTTTTTTTGGGGCCTGGGATGGAAGTGAGGGGGGAGGTGTAGGGGCAGGTGTAGCACCGCCTGCGGTTGCAGGGAAAAGTGCCGGGGGTGGTGGGGCTAGTGGGGAGTGTGGAGCGGACAAGGGAGTCGCGGAGAGAGCGGTCCCTCTGGAAGGCAGATAAGAGTTTGGAGGGAAATATATCTTTTGTGGTGGGGTCAGATTGCAAGTGGCGGAAGTGGTGGAGAATGATGCGTTGAATCCGGAGGTTGATGGGATGATACGTGAGGACAAGGGGATTTCTGTCTTTGTTTTTATTGCGGGGAGGGGATGTGAGGGCTGAGGTGTGGGAAACGCAAGAGATGCGGTCGAGGGTGTTGTCGACCACTGAGGGGGAAAGCTGCGGTCCTTGAAATACGAGGACATCTGGGATGTTCGGGAGTGGAACGCCTCATCTTGGGAGCAGATGTGGCGGAGGAATTGTGAGTAGGGGATGGCATTCTTGGAGGAAGGTGGGTGAGAGGAGGTGTAGTCTAGGTAGCGGTGGGAGTCAGTGGGCTTAAAATAGATATCAGTTTCGAGTTGGTGACCAGAGATGGAGACAGAGAGGTCCAGGAAGGAGAGAGAGATATCAGAGATGGTCCAGGTGAACTTGAGGTTGGGGTGGAAGGTGTTAGTAAAGTTGATGAACTGTTCGAGCTCCTCATGGGAGCACGAGGTGACGTCAATGCAGTCATTGATGTAGCGGAGGAAGAGGTGGGGGATGGGGCCAGTGTAGCTGCGGAAGAGAGACCGTTCCACGTATCCTACAAAGAGACAGGCATAGCTTGGGCCCATGCAGGTACCCATGGCCACCCCCTTAGTCTGTAGGAAGTGAAACTGTGCTTTCCTCACTGCTTGCCCCAATAGATGCATAACACAATGGGTGTTAATAGCCTCCTTTAATAAAGTGCAGTAATCCTTTACACAATCCTTGTTTTTTTTTAAAACAGTTCTTTTTCCCATTTCAGTCCACAACCAAATGCAGAAAAATAAAAAGATATGTCTCTTTCTGAAGAAGGGTTTAGGCCTGAAACGTCAGCCTTCCTGCTCCTCTGATGCTGCTTGGCCTGCTGTGTTCATCCAGCTCTACACCTTGTTATCTCAGATTCTCCAGCATCTGCAGTTCCTACTATCTCTGGTCTATATAGTGTGCTGCATTGAGAAATTTCCTGAGTCAAACATCCTGCCTCAGAAATCAAAATCCAGTATTATGAATATATTCCTAGCCCTTCATTCTGGACCCCTCCTCAAATGGAAATATTTTCACTCAAGCCCATGGTTACCCTTTCTTACTTTTTTTCCAGAGAAAAGAGCCTAGCCTGTTCATCTTTCCTAATGGGTTATAGCCTTTTGGCTTTGGAATCATTCTATTAAATCTTTTCTGCAAATCTCCAGTGCCTGCATGACTATTTTTAAACATTAGTGTAACTGCTATTTGCCTCTGCAATGCACAAGCCTGTCTGTGGTTTGACATGAAGGTTTGGGACAGAGCAAGCAATCAGCAGCACACTTCTTATGTTGCTGCTGAGGCTCCAGAAGTAACCAATCTGAGTAAGTTGGTGCATCTGATTTTTCATCAGACATGAATATTTATCAGGTGGACATAATCATAATATTTACCTGTGCTTGCTGTTGGTTCAGCAAGCCACAGCAATACTGTAAATGATGATGATATTTTTAGGACCTATGGTAGCATTAACGGTATACTGAAGAAACTATTTATCATTTTAGTCAATTATGTTTCAACACAAAAAAGACTACAGGCGTTCAGAAAACTACACAAAAGACCTGTGAGTATTTTTGTTTTGATCTTCTTTGTGATATTTATCTTAAGATAAATGGCTTGGACTCTAATTTGAACCATGCAGCCAATCTGGCAATGGGAGATTCCTGTAGGTTCTGCCCAATTTCGTGGAAGGAGTTTATTTAAATTCTTACTCCATTTCCTGGTTGTTAGCCAGCCAGTTTGAGAAACAGGAAATGTGTCAGCTGGGATGGTCCGATTTGTTAGCCAGGAGCCAAGGAGTAGAGAAAGGATTGGAGTGAACTTTGTGGAAGACTAAAGAGGACATCTGGAGGGTGTGGGATTGATGGGGTGTGGCTAAAGATTATTTTGGAAAGCTAGAAATTGAGCGGACTATGATTTGATCAGGATAGCCACAGAAAACATCAGAATAATGATGGCCATGATTGGACATTGAGTTGGCTGTGATTAGATCAGATGGAGGTGCTGTGATTGCATGGAGAAAAATAGGTAAACCGGATGGATGGAAAGAAGCACTCTAGGTCTCATGTATCACTTAATGACATGACCATAAAAAATGCATATGGCATATGTTAAGGGCTGTTTAAATCTGCTTACTTGATGGATCTGGCCCTTTTAGCCTCCCTTCAGCTGCCAAGCTTCCCAAGCCATGGGAAACACATCTATCAGGTTAGACTATCCAATAACTCCTTGTGTTGAAGATAATTCTTTCTTGTGGGTGGGGTGAAAGTGGAATGTCACTGTTGGTTAAGGATTTGCAGATTGTTTATTCATGAATGATATGTTAGCATCGCAGGACAACATTAAAGACATTGGTTGTTGGCCAGAAGAGATAGTGATACATTGTTTGCTTGATGTGCAGCCTTTTTTTTGGTCTCTTTCATCATTCTCTTCCAGTGGTGGTGTTTCTTACAGATCTTGATACTTTTTATTTAATGATAAACACTATTTTGGTCATGACTGAGCATCTGCTTTCCTCATGAAGTCTCTTACGAATTTTTTTCTTGTCCCCTGCATTAACAGGCTCCCTGGCACAGATCTGAATCAAGTAGCTTTCTGGGCAGTATTCAATCAGGCACACTGATAACATGTCCCATTCATCTTAGATGTGAGATTATCATGGCCTCTATACTTGGCATGTCTCTGCCATGTTAGTTCTTTTGTCCTTGCAGTTAATTCATAACACCGTTCTGATAAAGCATTGGTAATGCTGTTCTAGAGCTGTGATGTGGCACCTAAAAGTTATCCAAGATTCAGCAATGTATAGAAACATGGGGAGAAACATTGCCTGGTAGTCATTTAGTTTATGCTAGGTCTTATGTCATATTTCTTGAAAACTCAAGTATGTAATTTTTGAGCTACCATGTAAGAACAAATCATGCACCTCTCCATCAATGTTTACTTTATTGTGATAGATAGCTTCCCAGATAATGGAAGCACAAGACATTTTTCTACATTCAATTGCATTACCATCACTAAATCCCCCACAACAACATCCTGGGGGTTATCAGAATCTGAAATGGGCTAGCATTTATGTACTGTGGCTACAAGAGTAGGTCAGAGACTCATAATTTTACAAGTAACTCACCTCCTTATTCCACAAAACTGTCCACAATCTACAAGAATAAGTCAGGAGTGTAATGGAATGGAATACTCCCCACTTGCCAAGTTGAGAGCTATAATAGTTGTCATAGTCCCAGAGAATGATGGGGCTGTCTCTCATTAGAGAGAGATGATTGGTGGTGACTTTAACTTAAGGGTCACCATGTCTCAGGCAAGGGACCTACCAGAGAAGGCAGGATCTTCATGGTAGCCTCAGCCAGAGAATGAACTGAACCTGCATTGTCGATGTTACTCTGCATCGCAAACCATTTGTTCAGCCAACTGACCTAACCGACCTCCTTTGGATAAGTCGCTAATAAGCAGCTCCAACAACACTCAAGTAGCTTGAAACCATCCAGGGACAAAGCAGCCCAGTTGACTGGCCCACATTAACAAAAAATTCACTCTCTCCACCACCAATGCTCAATATCAGTAGCACCATCAACAAGATACATTGCAGAAATTCACCAGTGCTTCTTAGACAGCACCTTCCAAATCCATGACCATTACCATCAAGAAGAACAAGGACAGCAGATACACAGAACACCAGCACCTCCAAGTTCTCTTCCAAGCCACTGACCATCCTGACTTGGAAATACAATGCCATTTCTTCCATATTGCTGGGTCAGCCTAATGGCATTTTAGGCCTACCTTTAGCAAGCAGTTTGCAGTTATTCATGAAGGGAGCTTACCACCATCTTCTAAATGGCATCTAGGGAGGCGCAGTAACGGTATTTTAGGCCTACTTATAGTAAATAGTTTGCAGTAGTTCCTAAAGGGAGCTCACCACCATCTTCTAAATGGCATCTAGGGAGGCACAATAAACAGGCAGTGACAATGATTTTTTTTTTCATTCATTCATGGGATGTAAGTGTTCACAATGAATTATAATTGTAGGCTTTGGAGTTGATGCAGATTTAGTCTTGCTAGTATTCAGGAAAAGTCTCACGCTTTCATAGGCTCCAATGAATATCAACTGTTCTTCTTCAGATTGAACACTAGCTTTCAGACAACCACATTCAGACAGTCTTCAAGAAAGAAGGTGAATTAGGCCGTAGCAACCATAGGGGCCCTGCTCTCAACTGTTGGCCAAGACCTAACTAGGTTATTTCTTAATCGGCTTTCACCAATTGTGCAGAAGGTTGTTCTAGTGTCCCAGTGTGGCTACCAGAGAAAGAATTGACATGATCATCACAATACACTAACTTCAGAAACAATGCAGAGAAAAAAACACCTCTTTGAACGTGACTTACTTAAACAGCACAAAAGCCTTTGATTTGCTTTGGAAGGTGCTACAGCAATATGAACATCTTGCTAAGTTCACAAATACGTATCTCCTACATGACAAAATATGAACAACACTACTGTGCAATGGCTCATCACAGACCCTTGTAAAAGTAGATGCTAAATGGGGTGTGTCAATGCACAAATAATATTCTTAACCTTTCCTGTAATAATGCTGCAACTTACTACTGAGGCTGTCCCAGCTGTGGTAATTTTTTCGCACTGATGGTAAGCTCTTCAACTTCAAACAGTTAAAGGCCACAACCAAGATAACAACTACTCTGTGACAGAACACCAGTGTGACTGTCCGAAAGCTAGTGTTCACTTTAAAGAAAAACAAATAGTTGATTTATTCACTGGAATCTTTGAAAACGTGAGGCTTTACCTGAATACCAGCGAGACCAAATCCACACCAAATGGATCAACTCCAAACCGCCCGTATAAGTCGGGCAACACTGACCTAAACTGGAAATCCAGATACAACCTTCACAAGGCCATCAGGGATGCCACGACGCAAAACTAAACTAAGTGAGACTCAGGCCAACCACACAGATACCTGTTGTTTGTGGCAAGGCTTATGTGACGTAATAGGCAACAAAGCAAAAGTCGAATAGAATTGCGAGCAGCAGTACATACTTATCCAATGAGCTCAATGCACTCTACGCTCGCTTTGAACAGAATGTCAATGAAATGATGTCACCTATCCTAACAGCTTTAGATATACCTGTTCCCACGGTCACTGTTAAAGACATTAGATCAGCCCTCTTGAGAGTGAATCCATGGAAAGCAACTGGCCTGGATGGAGTCCCCGGCTGCATACTCAAATCCTGTCTGGACCAGCTGGCAGGAGTATTTGCAGTCATCTTTAACCTCTCCTTAATATGATCTGATGTCCCCACCTGCTTGAAGAAGACCACCATCATGCCAGTGCCAAAGTAAAATCATGCAGTGTGCCTCAATGACTACTGCCTAGTGGCTCTGGCCTCCATAATTATGAAGTGCTTTGACAGGTTAGTCATGGCTCATGTCAACTCCAGCCTACCAAATTCCCTGATCCTTTGCAATTCACCTACCGGTGCAACAGGTCCACAGCAGACGCCATCTCCCTGGCCAGACACTCATCCCTGGAACATCTGGAATACAAGAACACCTATGTCAGGCTCCTACTTCTTGACCACAGTTCCAACTTTAACACCATAATTCCAAGAGAACTCATCTCTAAGTTCAGAGACTTAGGTCTCAGCTCCCTCCTCTGTAACTGGATCCTTGACTTACTGATCCATAGACTGTAATCAGTCAGTTTGTCAGTTCTCTTAGTACCTGCAACAGACCCAGTTTGGCAGCTGTGTCCATTAGGACTCAGCCAGTTAGGTCATTAATTGTGCTGCCACGTCACTCTTGGTGATGAATATTGAAATCTCCCTGGTAATCCCCAGTGCTTCTTATAACTGGTGTTCAATACTGATTCAGTAACTGAGGAAGGATGTTTTGATTTGATTTAATTTATTACTGTCACATATACCGAGGTGCAATGAAAGGTTTTGTTTTGCAAAGCAGTATAGACACATCATACCATACAAAGTGCATAAGGGTAATAGAACAGAGCGAGGAATACAATGTTATGGCTACAGAGAAGGTGCATAAAGAGCTAGATCAACATTAAATTTTAAATTTGAAAGATTCATTTGGAAGTCTAATAACAGCAGGGAAGAAGCTGTTCTTGAATCTGTTGTTCAGCTTTCATATCTACTGCCCGTTGGAAGAGGTTGGAAGTGATTGTGGTGGGGTTATAGTCTTTGATTATGTTGGCTGCCTTTCCAAGGCAGCGAAAAGTATAAATGCAGCCAATGGATGAAAGTTTGGCTTGCGTGATGGACTGGGATGTGTTCACATCTCTTTGTAGTTTCTTACAGTCCTGGGCAGAGGATTTGCCATTCCAAGCTGTGATGCACCCATATAGAATGCTTTCTATGGCGCACATATAAAAATTAGGAAGAGTCTTTATGACATGCCAAATTTCCTTAGCCTCCTGAGGAGGTAGAAGCGTTGTTGTGCTTTCTTGACCATCACATCAATGTGGGTAGACCAGGACAGATTGCTGATGACCTTTACTCCTAGAAACTTGATTCTGTCGACCATTTCCACCTCAGTTCCATTGATGTAGATAGGGGCGTGCCATCCTCCTTGCTTCCTGAAGTAAATGATCAGCTCTTTAGTTTTACTGACATTGAGGGAGAGATTGTTGTCTTCACATGGGACCACCAAGCATTCTATCTCTTACCTGTATTCTGTCTCATCATTGTTTGATATCTGGCCTACAATGGGTGGTGTGTCAGCAAATGGAAAGTTGGAGGTTGGCTAATATGGTGTCATTATTTAAGAAAGGCTGTATGGAAAAGCCAGGGAACTATAGACCAGTGAGCATTATATCAGTGGTGAGGTAAGTTGCTGGAGGGGATTCTGATGGACAGGATTTACATGCATTTGGAAAGGCAGGGGCTGATGAGGAATAGTCAGCATGGTTTTGTGCGTGGGAGGTTGTGTTTCACTAACTTGATGGAGTTTTTTGAAGGGGTGACAAGAGAAGATTGATAAGAGCAGTAGGCATTGTCTATATGGATTTCAGTAAAACATTCAACAAAGTTCTGCATAGTAGACCGGTTGGTAAGGTTACGTCACATGGGATGCAGGGGAGTGAGCCAATTGGATACAAAATTGGCTTGAAAGTAGGAGACAGAGGGTGGTGGTGGAGGGGTGTTTTGCGGACGGGAGGCCTGTGACCAGTGGTGTGCCACAAGGATCAGTGCTGGATCCATTGCTTTTCGCCATTTATATAAATGATTTGGATCTGAATATAGGGGCGGTATGTTCAGTAAATTTGCAGGTGACATCAAAATAGGTGGTGTAATGGACAGTAAAAAGCATTATCTCAGATTACAACGGGACTTTGATTAGTCAGGCCAACGAGCCGAGGAGTGGCAGGTAGAGTTTAATTTAGATAAATGTGAGGTGTTGCATTTTGGTAAGGCAAACCATAGCAGGACTTATACAGGAAATGGTGGGGCCTTGGGGAGTGTTTCCGAACAAAGATACCTGGGTTTACAGGAGCATAGTTCCTTGAAAGTGGAGTCACAGGTAGACAGGGTGGTGAAGAAGGTGTTTGCAATGTTTACCTTGATTGGTCAACATTGAGTATAGGAGTTGAGATGTCATGTTGCAGCTGTCAGGACATTGGTGAGGCCCCTTGTGGAATACTGCATACAATTCTGGTCACACTTTTATTGGAAAGATGTTCAATTTGAGATGGTGCAGAAAAGATACAAGGATGTTGCCGGAATGTGCGGTTTGAGTTATTGGGAGAGGCTGAATAGGCTGCGCCTGTTTTCCCTCGTGCATCGGAGGCTGAGGGGTGACTTGATAGATGTTTATAAAATCATGAGGGACATAGATAGGGTGAATAGCCAGGGTCTTTTCCCCAGGGTATGGGAGTCCAAAACTAGAGGGCATAGATTTAAGGTGAGAGGGCAAAGATTTAAAAAGGACCTGAGGGGTAAATTTTTCACACAGACAGTGGTGCATGTATGGAATTAGCTGCCAGAGAAAGTGGTGGAGGCTGGTACAATTACAGCATTTAAAAGGCATCTGGATGGTTACATGAATAGGAAGGGTTTAGAGGGATATGGGCCAAATGCTGGCAAATGGGACTAGATCAGATTGGGATGTCTGGTCGGCGCAGATGTGTTGGATTGAAGATTCTGTTTCTAAGATGTATGACTCTATGACTCTAAATGGGAAACTGACTTGCATCCTTCAAGAAGATCAGATGCATGGATTGTATTTCTACTATATATCATTAATAAAATATTGTATTTCAAGCCTGTTTGCTAAGATGCGTGCAACATAATTTGCTATTTCAGAAAGGAAACAACTGGTGTTTTAACTGTGGAATTCCAGATTAATCATATGGAGTATACTTGTAAATTGACATCCAGAAGGGTATGTTTTCTGTAAAATATTTTTTCTATATAGATTGATAGGTTTACAGTAGTGACATTTTAAATTCAAATTGAATAGTTAATTTACTTTGAAATTAATAACTATTATACTCAATATAAATATATTCTGTAGTATCAAAAGGATTGTAATGTATAAATCTCCAACTTCTTAGCTGACAATTTTAAAAAATTCTACAATCCCTAAATATGAGTAGTTCAGTCTGTATGATAGAATCTGTACATTAACATGACAATGCGATCATAAGCCTGCAGCTAGGCAGCGCTGTATGTAGTCCCTAACTCTTACATTCCACAACAATAGTTGAACCACTTCATGGTTCCGTAGCTTCACTGCTGTTTGAAATGAAATTAATAGCCTCTCAAATGAAACAGTTTAGATCAAAGTATTATGCATTTTATTAGGGATCTTGTATTTCTTTCTCTGATTTCAGAGGATCTTACCATGTTGATCCAACTTGCCATTGATTGATATGCTTCTAGAAAATTGGCACAAATGATTGAATGTGTAGCCACACTTCTGGTAAAATAATAGTTGCAAAACTGAAGAAGATTATCTGCAAAAGGGAAAAAAGGAGACAAAATTATCTCCTGGGCAAGATTTCGGCCTATTGTGCATGGCTGGAATATTTCAGAGCAGGGGCAGGAGGACCAGCTGATTTTAAAGGCTAAAATTTATTATTTGAAATTCATAGGAAGATGGGGTGTTGGATTAATTGGTTGATTGTTTCAAAGTGTGACACATACATATTTGCCAAATGGTATGCTATACGGTATGTTACCATGTATTTATAGGGAAGTGGGGAGTGTGCATGTTAGTAGGGTGGGGTGGGACTAAAGGAGTTGGAGGAGAAATGTGAATGTCCTGAGAATGTGGAGGCCATACTGCCTTAATGGCAATTTTCTGTTTGATTACCACCTTTCTCTCCTCTCAGTGCAATCCTCTTCTATGACCTATTTATGTACCTTTCTCTCCATAACATTGTATGAAATTTGCAACAAAGGTAAAAGCATAGCAACAAAAAAAAGTTCCAGTGACACGTGTTTAAAAAATTTTATTCACAGGTTTCACATATTTCTGTGGGCTGCCCTCTGAAGAAACACTTAAGAGTAAAAAGGTATAATGTGACTTTGCATCTAAATTTGTAATTTTGTTTCATTTCAACCTTTTATTTAACCATAGTCAGGAAAGTGAGTTGAAGTAGGGTTGGCAAATGTGGTTGGATGCATTCCTGGAGATTTTATCACACGACCTTCTCTCTCTTACTGCCCCATACCAACGTTCCTGTCATTGACATCTCAGTCCATTACAGAGACTGCATTCCACGTTAATTGGAAGTCACCAGACACTCTTCTACCCCCACTGGATGATTCTTAACTCTGAGTCAAACAGCCATTTTTGCAGCTTCAATATTTTTAGACAAATAAATGTTCGGAGAAAGTTTTAAAAGCTGTAATTTGTTTCAATAAATATGATTTTTCTTTAGATTGGTGGCAACAAATACTGGAGATTACTTTTCAATTTCTGATGACTCCAGGGCAATCCTGGAGAGTAAGTAACCTGAAGCTGCCCCATATGATGACGTGGATTGGTGGTCAGCATATCTTATTTCCCTTGTTTCCTGTAGATGTGACTGTTAATCTGGGGCCTGGATTTTCAGATTTGCAATGTTTCCCAGCTCTGCAAACATGACCTGAGATAAAATTCCCTGAACTTTGGACTTTCATTCAGGGGGCAGAGTTCTCCTGGAGTCATGGAGAATCAGCCCCTAAGAAATTGTGGAGGATATAGAGGTGAGCATGGTGGAAGGCCTGCCTCAATGCACTGGCAGTTTGCTAATGATTTAAAGCTCACCTCCAGCTCTCACCCTCGCCTTCACACTCCCATACACTTTCCATGGCACACCATGTTACCTTATACCCTTCACCCACACCTCCATGGGTCCCATACTGTCCATGCCAACTTATGCCCCTCTAGCTACACTAAGGCCATTTATATCCAATATGCCAACTACGTGCCAATTATGGCAAATCATCCTGTAACTACATGGGCAGACCTCAAAGCTCACGTTCAGATAAAACATTGTTCTTAATTGTCAATTTAAGAAATTACTATTTATCATTTCTAAAAACCTATTGAGTACATAAAACTTCCTTTAGTTCTTTATGAAATAAGTATTGAAATTCATAGTTCCACTTGAAAGTATCTATTACTGTTTGGAGCTGTCAATTAAGTTGTGTACTGAGATCATGGAAGATTATGAATCAGTTGTATAATATTAATTCTACAACGAGTGCCTATATGGCTTCTAACAACAAACAGTTTAATGTAGAAACATTACTTAAACATTGTATGCAGTTATTTTTGCAAATATTTAAAGGGCATGAGTTTTCACTGCCTTGAAAGTTTGCTGGCCCCTTTGACAGCTACTTTTGGCAGGACTGTGTGGTACTTCTTTTGATAGTTTATTTTGTCAGCTTGACAATAGGAGCTGTGAGTGACGGGCATAAGGTAACATGGTGTGTCATGGGAAATGTATGGGAGTGTGAGGGTGAGAGCTGGAGGTATGTTTTAAATCTTTAGCAAACTGCCACAGCTTTGAGGCAGGCCTTACATCAAGCTCACTTTGACAGTTCCAAAGAGCTCACAGTTCCAAAGGCCTTCACAGTTCCGATGGGTTTCTGCTTTAAACAATTTCCAAAGGACAGACTGCCTCTCACAAAATGCATCCTATCTCTCAAATGTATCCTGGTTCCACATACAAAAGAGTACCTTATCTCTTCCAAAATGTACCCTATCTACATATCCACATTGTTTATCCATCAGGTCTAATCTACATGCATGTTTCCCACGCCTAGCTCATGAAAAACAGCCATTTTTCACAACAATAGAGAGGCTCTCCGCCTGTGCAAAAAGTCAGGTCTGAAACCTGGATGCAGTCTTATTTTTGCAAGTTCATTGTACTTCACCTCAATGCACTTTCACTCTGGCTGATGTTTATTTTTATTTCCGGGCCTATTCTTAGAAAAAAAAACATTTACGTTAGTTTATTGATGGTGAAACTTTAAAAAGATATCTTTGGTTTTAACTTGGGAGAGGAGTTCGGTGGAGAGAAAACCATCCTCACTTTGGCAGCATTAGAGTTCACAACAAAAAAAAGTGTCGATGTGTGGCATCAAGAAGCAAAACTGGAATCAGTGGGAATTAGGGGCAAACTCTCTGCTGGTTGGAGTCATACTGGCGCATAGGAAGATGCTTGTCAAAAAACTCAAAGAACTGCAGATGCTTGAAATCAGAAACAAAAACAAAAAATAAAACTCAGCAGGTCTGGCAGCATCTGTAGAGAGAAAGCAGAGTTAATATTTCAGGTCCAGTGACTGTTCTTCAGAATGGTTCTGAAGAAGGGTGTCAACCTGAAATGTTTATTGCTTTCTCTCCATGGAAGATGCTTGTGGTTGTTGGAGGTCGATAATCTCAGCTGTAGGACATCTCTGCAAGAGCTCCTCAGAATAGTGTCCTAGGCCCAACCATCTTCAGTTGTTTCATCAAAGACCTTCCTCTATCATTAGGTCAGAAGTGGGCAAGTTTGCTGATGATTACACCATATTCAGCACCATTTACGATTCCTCAGATACTGAGGCACTCCATGTACACATGCAACAAAACCTGGACAATATCCAGGCTTCGGCTGAAAAGTGACAAGTAACATTCGTGCCACACACAACCACGCAATGACCATCTCCAATAAGAGGCAATCTAATCACCGCCCCTTCTCATTCAATCGCATTACCATCACTGAATCCTCCACTATCAAAATTTGGTGGTTTCTATTGATCCAAAACTGAACTGGACTCACCGTATAAATATAGTGACTACAACAACAAGTCAGAGGCTAGGAATTCTGCAGTGATCTCCTGAATCCTGAGCCTGTCCAGCATCTAAAAGTCACAAGTCAGGAGTGTAATGGAATACTCCCCAGTTGCCTAGATGAGTGCAGCTCTACCAACTCTCAAGACGCTTGACAATATCCAGGACAAATCAGCCCACATGATTGTCACAACATTCACAAATGTTCAGGTACTCCACCATCAGTACGCACTAGTGAGTACTATCTACAAGATGCACTGCAAAAATCTTCTTAGACAGCACCTTCCAAACCCACGACTAATTCCATCTAGGAGGACAACCACAGTAGATAATGGGAACTCCACCACCTGCAAGTTTCCCTCTAAGTGTCTCACCATACTGCCCTGGAAATATATTGCCATTCCTTTGCTGTTGCTGGGTCAAAATCCTAGAAATCCCTCCTTAATGACATGTGGGTCTACCTTTAGCACATGGATTATAGCACTTCCAGAGGCCTCTGACCACCACCTTCTCAAGGGCAACTAGGGATGGACAATAAATACTAGTCCAGCCAGTGATGCTCACATCCTACAAATGAATTTTTTTAAAAAGTTACCCTTTGGGCTTCTTCTGTCTCGGACTGTTTTTCTCATTGATTGGTCTGTTGAACAAGCCATAACCGCCTTGCCCTAATTCATTGGAAACACTGGAAGATGTGCAAAGGCTGTGCCTTCAATTTAAAAAAAACTAGGCAAGCCTGTTGTTCAAACTTCCAGGTTTCCAAACAGCTCCAATATCTACAACTGTGAATAGATCAGAATGCCAAAATTCAAGCAACGTTTCAGGTTGCCAACCTTTTTCAGAAGTAGAAACAATGTTTTTAAGCAAGAACAGGGGCATGTAAAGAGACAGAGAAGGAAATAGCGAAAGGGAAGCTTTTGGATTGGTTGGAAGGCAGGACAGATTAAATGATAATGGGGCACGGTAAAAGAGGGTTATGAGATAAGTAAGGAAATATCAGGGGCCAAATAGAAAGGAGAAGGAGAAAGGAAGTAAAAGGGCAGCAGAAGAGGGTGGAAAAGCTCATGAGAATACATAATACTTGATTAGATTTTGTTAACTGAATTGAAGTGTATATTCAGTTGATTCTTCTATTGACTAGAGTTATCTAAATGCAGATGAGAAGCAGAATTTTCTCAGGCTATTATGATGGGTTCTGGGTGACAAGGATGGGAAGTTTCTAGAAGGTGGCTCCGGATGGTATCCCAGCATGATCCCTCAGTCTTGCCACACTTCCCTGAGGTAACTTTGGAAGTGATCAGGGAAACACTGAGCAGTTTGTTCAGAAGATAATTATGAGGCTCTTTAACTTAGAACCTTGATTTCCCTGTAATGGTGCCTATTTCTCAACCTGTTAGAAATTTGGCAGAATTATTGAGCTAAGTCCATAGTGGAAAGAACTTCTTCAGTGAAACTGACAAGTTAGAAAGACTTTGATCAGTTGCACTGAAAAGCTGTAGCCATGACTTTGAGAAATTACTATCAAAGCACATTTTCTCTACAGAGTACTGCCAGTGTTTGGCAGTAATTAAATTACAGGTAAATCTGATACTCATGACCTTTTCTTACCCATGCTGAGACCCCTTTAATTAGAAATCCTTCCTTTGACAGCATAGATGCACCATTCTGCCTTCCCATACTACTTGCTGGGGAACCAGAGTTTGGATGTCAATTTAATTGTTTTTGTAAGGAGCAACTACAGAGTGCGCTGTGTTACAGAGTTTGATTCTAAATCAGAAATGTAATCCATCCATTGTACCGGGAACTAAGATAGTATACTTCCACTCCCAGTGCTTTTTTTAATACAGTATTTCACTGTTTCTGTTGTCCATTTATCAGACGTTCTATTTATTTCAGACCCAGTCTAACCGGATGTGAAACCAAAAATCTCTCTCATTACATAGTTCCTGGGTGAGTTAAGTAATTTTAGTTTATAGCAGAGGCATGCAAAGGTATGGTATGTCTTCTGACATCTTCATGGGTTAAATTACAGCACTATTTTAAATTTACAAAAGATGATATATCTCTAAAGTTTTCAAAAAGATTTGTAGCTCGGATTGTGGATGACTTTGTAGACATGCTCGCTGAGCTGGTGGGTTTAGTTGCAAACGTTTCATCACCCTGCAAGATAACATTGTCAGTGCACTTCCAGTGAAGCATTGGTGTTCTGTCCCACTTGTTATTTATATGCCTTGGTTCACTGGGGCGGTTGGTATTACTTATGGTTTTGTTTCTCAGTGGTTTGTACACAGACAACGAGGGACATGAATTCGACTGGGACAACACATCCATAATTGCACAAGCCAAACAGAGACACGCCAGGGAATTCCTGGAGGCCTGGTATTTTAACCGGAATTCCATCAACAAACTCATTGAATTAGACCCTGCATAACGATGTTACCTAGCAGAGTGACAAAATGTTTGCAACCAAACCCACTGGCTCGGCATGCATGTCTGCAACCTCATGATACATCTCTGTAAACGGAAATCCCAGATTAAGGAATGTTGACATTATTAAGGATGTAGATTGATTAGGTTAAATGATTTTCTTCAAAGGGATCCAACAATATGGATAGGATAAGGCAAGAGATCTGCATACTCAGCTAGGCACCAAATTAAGAAACAGATTATTTCCTGGATTATTGCCTGGGCCAGGTACAAATTGGCATCAGGCAAATAACAAATTATTCTGAAGCTTAAAGTCTGGTAGAAGTGGGTTACAGTTCATCGGGCACAAAAACAGAAATTGTTGGAAAGGCTCACCAGTCTGGCAGCATCTGTGGAGAGATATCAGAGTTAACGATACGGATCAGGTGACCCTTCCTTCTGATTTACAGCATCCACAGTTCTTTTGTTTTTTACAATTCATGGGGCACTGGTATCAGGGAAAGTTAGGACTGTACTGCTGGGAAGCTCTATACCTGAACTCTGCTGGGACCAGTGTTCTAGCAGATTGCACAATTACGGAAGTAGAGAGGATTTTAAGCTAAATATTGGAGATAATGGATCAAATTTGGGAAAATGTGGTCAATCAAAGAGTACAAGCTGGGTAAGAGATAAAAGGTATTAATATGCAAAATGATAAACAGACAATAACAGGAAGGGACAGAGTGTATAAATCTAATAGTAAATCAACAAAGGCTAGATGTTATAAAAATATTAAAAGGACAATACTAATGTAGCATTCAAAACAAAACAGATGAACTGGCAGTAAAATTAGAATAAATAAATACAATCTGATAGCCATGGCTCAAAGATGATATAGATTAGGATCTGAAAATTGAAGGGTATGTGACATTGAGGAAGGTCAGGAAGCTAGGAAAAGGTGAAAGGGTGGTTCTGTTAATTAAGATTGACCTAAACCAAGAAGCAAGGATATATAAGCGGATTCTATTTGAAATGAGAAACAATAAATGTCACGTGGTGGTGGTTTACCAGGTCCATTCGGTACCCACATGGTAGGATGGAGTACACAGAACAAAAGAAATGGACTTTAGTGGAAAGGTATGGCATTTTAATCTGCATGTGGACCAGAAAAATCAGATGAGCAAAGGTAATTTGGATGAGGATTCATTGAAAGATTTTGGGATAGTTTTTTAGAACAGCATATTCTGGAACCAGCCGGACAGTAGTCTGTACCAGACTTGGTATTGTGCAGTGAGAGGATTAATTAATAACTTGTGGTGAAAGTGCCCTAGGTAGCAGTGACCATAATACAACTTGATTTGTTACAACAGAGTGACTTGTTAGATTATCATAAAAGATCGATCACAGTCAACCACACTGCTGTTCATCTGGTTTCACATAAGGACAGACCAGATTGAATTTTATATTCACCTTAAGGGGGAGACGATTAGATCTAAGACTAGTATTTTGAAGCTAAATAAAGGCAGTTATGAGGATATGAAAGCAGAGCTAGTTATGCTAAACTGTCAAATTAGGTTAAAGGTAGGTCAGTAGAGATGCAGAGTAAAACATTCAAGGGGATATTTCAAAACATACAGAATAATATATTCCGATAAGAAACACAATGCTAACTCATTGTTCAGATGAAGGATCACTGGACCCAAAATGTTGGCTCTGCTTTCTCTCCACAGATGCTGCTAAACCTGCAGAGTTTCTCCAGCAATTTTCTTTTTTGTGCCGACTCATCTCTTACCTAAAAAATTAAAATGTAACAGAAAAGCATGTAATAATACAAATTATGCAAAATCAGAAGAATGGACAGAATATTAAAAAAAGCAAAGGATGTCTATAAATCTAATGAGGGAAAAGTTACAGTACGAGAGAAGGCTAGCTTGAAATTTAAAAACCGACAGTAAGAGTTTCATCAGATATTTAGAAAAGAAAATAGCTAACAAAGTGGGAGTTGGGTCCTTTGGGAAGTGAGTCTAGGGAATTAACAATGGAAAGTAAGGAGATGGCAGATGAATTGAATGGTACCTAGAATGCAAAAATATGAAGTAGGTATAGAAGTGGACCATTCAGCCCTGTAAGCCTGCTCCAGATTCCCATCTGCCCTCGATAAATGTTGATTGATCCTGCCTCAATCATCTTCTGAGATGGACGGTTCCAAAGTCACACGACAAAAAATTCTCCTAATTTTAAAACAGTGCCCCCTAGTCCTGGACTGTCTCACAAGAGAAAGGATCCTTTCACCTTCACCTTAACACCCTTCAGGATCTAATACATTTAAATCAAGTCCCCCATCTTTCCAGGGGAAACAAGCCCAGCCTGTCCAACCTGTCTTCATGAGACAGCCTGCTCATTTCCAGCTATCTAACTGGTAAATTTCATCTGAACTGCCTCCATCTCTCCTTAAATAAGGAGACCAAAACTGCACACTGTATTTGAGATGTGGTCTCACCAATGTCCTGTAAACTGAAGCATAACATCCTTACTTTTATGTTAAATGCCTCTTGCAGCAAAAGATAGCATCCCATTAGCATTCTTGATTTCTTGCTGTACCTGTATGCTAACTTTTTGTGACTCATGCACCTCAGAATTCTGCAGTAATTCTCTGTTTGAGTAATGCTGTGATTTCTCATTCTTCCTGCAAAGTGAATAACTATATTTTCCCAAATTATACTCTGTTTTCCAGATTTTTTTGCCCAGTTACTCAACCTAAGTACATCTGTCTGCAACATCCTTTTGTTTTTGTCACAACATATTTTGCATTGGTCTTCTCTGTAGGGGATTGAAGTAGCAGTCCAATACTAGAAGTGACTCAGGAAAAGACAGGGAAATAGTAATTTTTTTGAGTTTCTATTACCAGGGATGTAGTACTGATACATTAAGTAAGTGGCAAAGATCTAGCAAATAGAATATAATGTAGGAAAATGTGTAGTTGCCACTTTGACAGCAAGAATATAAAAGAATTATTTAAATGGTGAGATATTGAAGAGCTCTGAGATGTAGGGGGATTTGGATCTTCTAGTACATGAATCACAAAAGGTTTTTATGTGGGCATAGGAAGCAATTAGAGTAGGTAATAGGTTATTAAAATTTATTACAAGTATATTGAATACCAAAAATAGGGAAGTTATGCTTCAGTTATACAGGGAATTGGAGACCAAATCTGGACTGCTGTGTATTGGTTTCATTATTTAAAGAAGGATGTGGAAGTGGTTCAGAGAACGTCTATTAGACCAACGCCAGGAATGAGTCAGTTTTTGGACAGGCTAGACTTGTATCTATTCGAGTATAGAATAGTAGGAGGCAACCTAATTCAAACATGTAAGATCTTGAGGGACCTTGACAGGATGGATGTGGACGGGATATTTTCTGTTGTGGCATATTCTAGAACTGGATCACTGTTTCAAAATAAGAGGGTCCCCATTTAAGACAGAGGTTCAATCAAAGGGTTGTGTGTCTTTTGAACTTTTATTCAAAAAGAATTGGAAGCAGAGTCCTTAAATACTTGCAGTGTGGAAGTAAATAGATGCTTGATTAGCAAAAGGGTGAAATGTTACTGAGAGTAGATGGGAATTAAGCATCAATTTTATTGAGTAGCAGAGCAGGCTGTAGCTTTGTTAAAAATCTCATAGTTTAGTTTTCACAATAGAAATATATTTCTGTATCTTACTTCTGTATCTGATCCTTTCTTGTTTAGGTCAGTATTAAGAAATCCTCAGCAGAATGATGTGGTGAGTCTGCTGAACTCTGATTCTTATTTTAACTAAGTTAAATAACGCTGAAAAAAGACACAAATTGACAAAGCTGATCATCTTGTAATCATTGGCTCATTTGCAAGAATACCACCTACCACAAGTCTATCTTCACTGTTCAATATATGTGCTGGCATTTGTACAGTTCCATGTACTATAAGATTGGCCTTAACTTTAACCTTGTAAATGGGTTTGAGCCATTTGATCAGTGTGCAAACCTGATGGTGAAATAGGGCACAACAAAGACATCCTGCAAGAAAGTGGCAAGGCTGATCAGATCATTTTTCGTAATATGTCATATAAAATCATGAACGAGCCACTTTTAGTCTTCATAAGTGCCTAATGTAACTCCATTTGCTCTGGAAAGATAAAGTGTCTCTAAAACTTTAACAAGAAGTATAGCTAGCTGTTTTGCACTGCTAGTATGCAGTAGCAACCTGATTGGCATTCACCACTAACAGAATCCTTCCCTCAAGCCAAAATGACATTCTGCCTATCACACAATTAAGTAATATGGCACATGAATTTCAATGCCGGTGTGATATAGGTATGTAGGCCCTACACCTCAGTGACTAGTGAATCATGTCAAGCAGAATGTCCCTTCACCTGTTAACAATAGTTAAGATACTGACTATGTCCAACCAGCCATGCATGCAAAATTCAAACCACAATGATTTTACAATTGGACAACATTCATTAAATAATGCTGAGTGTGTTACAAACGTATACTGACAACTAATGTAAGATTGTAGGTTGGGCTTGCAGTGAGGAGCACATATTCTGAAGCTAGATGTATTCATACACAGAGCTCTCCACTTTACGCTCAGAAATACCATGTGTACACTTTGTACCTCTTTCAGTTTAATAAAATCAGCATCAACCATTCTCTGGTTTATTCCTGAGGAGACTGCCTTGACTATTCAGAGTCAATCTGTCTGTGTGGTGATTGACATGAGGCCACTAGGTGGATCTCATAAAATATGAGTTCCTTCATTGAGGCTGTTAACGTGGTTCAGTCAGGGAACCCTGGCTGACAGATACAGACAGGAGTGTCAGGTGTTCTGTTCATTCTAGGAGCCAGCTCCTAGCTTGCTGGGTCAGTGTCATGTACTATTCATGAGTAAGTGGTGACTTGATGACATTACTGACCTTTGTGGAGTTATTTTAGTAGCAACGAGAGAAAAACATGTCCCTGAAGAGATTCGCTTGCAACAGTCATCTTTGAGTTGGGATAAGCATTTCTAGCACCATGCCACTGTTTGGGAGGCTTAACTCATTTGATCCTGCCATCGAAGACTGGGCCCAGTTTGTGGAAAGATTGTGTTATTTTTTCCAGGCAAATGACGTTGGGACAGACAAAAAGCAACAAGTAATTGCCCTGACAGTTTGTGGACCTGCAGCCTTTTTGGTTATGAGGAGCCTATCTTTCCCAGAGTCACCAGATACTAAAACTTTTCAAGAGTTGACAGATTCAGGTAAGAAATCTTACGACCCCAAACCTCCTGTAATTCTGAGACGCCATCTGTTTTATTCACCAATTTGAACACCAGGGGACTCCATATCAGGATTTTTGACAAGGTTAAGATGACTGGCAGAGGTATGAGATCTTGAGAGACTGTTTCGAACATGGGATTAATGATGTGATCATGCAAATGTGCCTACTATAAGCACACAACTGGCTTTAACGTTAGAAAATGCAGCAAGTGGAGCATCTGAGTTATAGAACATGCTGATGGAAGTGGATACGCTCACCAGGTTGACTGACCTTAGGAGACACCACTTGAGTGAAGGCAGTTGCATACCCTCACTCAGGGCATATCCTAAACAGAGGGACTCTAGGTCAGCCCAGAGCAAAATCCCAAAACAAAGCCAAGCCTCAACCAAACGGTTCAAATTTTCTCAAGGATCAAGGCCAGCAGTCTATTGTAGTTGTTGCCAGTGTACGGACTCGAGACAGCAAAAGAGTCCTACTCGGCCTGAACAGAATGAGAGAACTCATAGGCCAGTATTCAGGAGAGTGCACACCCTGGGATATCCACCTACCTCTGGTTTTGAACAGTTAAATTGCTTAGCAACATCCAAATCAGAACCAAACAAAATAAACATCTGATTAAATGGATGCCCAGTTCTAATGGAAGTTGATACTGGCGCGGCTGTATCACTGATTGCGGAACCAGTCTTTTAATAAAATTCATTCTGGACTCTAACACCTAAGTTTGTGCCAGACCTCTGCCAGGCTGAGAACCTCTACGGGGGATCACTTACAAATTAAGGGTACAACTTCGATTCTGATTCAGTTACCACTGATTGTAGTAAAAAGCTTGGCCCAAGCTTGATGGGGTGAATTTGGTTGAGAAAGATTCAACTTGACTGGCTCAACATTTTTTGATTAGAAAATGGCTACCTGGATTAAGTGCTAATTAAATACCTGGACTTCTTTCAGGGAGGTCTAAGAACTATCAAAAGGGCCAAGGCCATCTTACATGACCAAGAAGCAACTTGACGATTCTACAAGGCCTGTCCAATGCCATTTGTCTCATGTGCAAAAGTAGAGGCAGAAATCAAGAAACTGGAAAATGAAGGAAATATCAAACTGGTACAGTTTGCAGAATGGACAGCATCGGTCATACCCATTGTGAAGTCCAACGGTTCTGTTCAGCTTTGTGGGGATTATTAATAAATGGTAAACTGTTTTTTGCAACTGGATAAATATCCAATCCTATACATAGACAACTTATACACAAAACTGGCAGGGGGGCTGTCCTTCACAAAGCTGGATATGGGCCATGCGTACCTGCAATTGCAATCAGGTGAGGATTGCCAGAGATATGCTACATTAATACCCATAAGGGTTTGTATCAATATACAAGACTGCCTTTTGGGATATCATCAGCCTGTGCCATTTTCCAGCGGACGATGGAGAAATTTTACAAGGTCTACCCCAGGTTGACATTTATCTGGATGATCTGATAATAACCAGGAAGACCTATAAAGAGCAATTAGACAATTTGTCCATAGTGCTTAAACGTTTCTCCAAGACAGGTGTAAGCTTTAGGAGGGAAAAATGTGTGTTCCAGGCACTCCAAGTGATCTACTTGGGCTACAGAGTCAACAAGACCGGATTATGTCCCATTGGAAGACAAAGTGAGGACGATCAAAGGTGCCCCTGCTCCCACAATTGTACCAGAGCTTAGGTCTTTCCTCAGATTGGTGAATTATTACAGAAAATTCATAAGTAACCTGGCCTCCATCCTGGCACGCTTACATCTGCTAGCAAAAAAGGGTCAGCCTTGGAAATGGTCTCAAAGCCAAGATGTAGCCTTTAGGGAAGTTATGAAGCAGCTATCATCATTCAAGGTGTTGGTACACTGTGATCCCAAGTGAGATGTTGCGCTGACATGCGATGCCTCCCCATACGGTATCGGGGTAGCCATAGAGTCATACAGAATGGAAATAGACCCTTCGGTCCAACCAGTCCATGCCGAACATAATCCCAAACTAAACCAGTCCTACCTGCCTGGTCCTGGCCCATATGCCTGCAAACATTTCCTATTCATGTACTTATCTAATTGTCTTTTAAATGTTGTAACTGTGCCTGCACCCATCACTTCCTCAGGAAGTTCATTCCACACGTGAACTAACCTCTATGTAAAGAAATTGCCACCATATTTTTTTTTTAAATCCCTGTACTCTTTCCTTAAAAATATGCCCCCTAGTCTTGAAATCCCTCATCCTAGGGAAAAGTTACCTACCATTAACCCTATCTCCCCTCATAATTTTCTACACCTCTATAAGGTCATCTCTTAACCTCGTACACTCCAGTGACAAAAGTCCGAGCCTATCCAGCCTTTCTTTGTAAATCAAACCTTCCATACCAGCAACATCCTGGTAAATCTGTTCTGAACCCTCTCTAGGTTAATAATATCTTTCCAAACTAGGGCAACCAGAACTGGACACAGTACTCCAGAAGAGGCCTTACCAATGTCCTGTACAACCTCAACATGACTTCTTAACTCCTATACTCAAAAGGACTGAGCAATGAAGGCAAGGGTGCTAAATGCCTTTTTGACCACCCTGTCTATATGTGATGCAAACTTCAAAGAATTAGGTACCTGAACCCCTAGGTCCCCCAGTACCCCTTGGTCCCTCTGTTCTACAACACTACCCAAAGCCCAATCATTAATTGTATAAGTTCTGCCCCTGTTCGATTTGCCAAAATGGAATACCTCGCATTTATCCAAATTGAACTCCAGCTGCCATTTTTCAGCCCATTGACGCATTTGATCAAGATCCCTGTGTAATTTTCGAAAACTTTCTTCACTGTTTACTATGCCACCAATTTTAGTGTCATCTGCAAACTTATTAACCGTGCCTTCTATTTTCTTAACCTAGTCATTTGTATAAATGACAAACAAAGAGAACCCAGAACTGATTCTTGTGGAACACTGCTGGTGACAGGCCTGCAGTCCGATAAGCAACCTTCTACTATCACTCTGTCTCCTGTTGTTAAACCAGTTATGTATTCAATTGGCAAGCTCACCCCGAATCCCATATGATCTAACTTTACTAATTAGTCTACCATGTGGAACTTTGTCAAAGGCTTTACTAAAGTCCAAGTAAACAATGTCTACTGCCCTGCCCTCATCAATCATTTTGGTAACTTCCTCAAAAAACTCAATCAAGTTTGTGAGATGACTTGTACAAAACCACGCTGACTATCCTAATCAATTTTTGCTGCTCTAAATGTTTATAAATCTTATCTTTTAGAATCACCTGCAACAAGTCAGCCACAACCAAGGCCAGACTCACAAGTCTATAGTTCCCCGGTTTTTCCTTACAACCCTTCTTAAACAAAGGCACAACATTATCCACTTGCCAGTTCTTCAAGCACCTCACCCATAATTATAGATGATGCAAATATTTCTGCAAAAGCCCCTGCAATTTCCTCCCTTACTTCCCACGACTGTTCTGGCATACATTAGATCACGTCCTGGAGATTTATCCACCTTTATATTATCTAAGACCTCCAAAACTTCCTCTTCTGTAATGTGAACTCTTTTTAAAACATCAATATTTCCTGAGTTCTTTAGCCTCCATTTCTTTCTCCATAATAAAAACTGACGCGAAACGTTCATTTAATAGCTTTCCTATCTCCTGGGGTTCAACACAAAGACAACCTCTTTGATTTTTAAGGTGCCCTATCCTCTCTCTAGTTTTTCTCTTACTCTTAATGTACTTGTGGAGTCTATTTGGATTATCCTTAACTGTATTTGCCAATGCTATCTTATATCCCCTCTTTGCTTCCCTGATTTTCTTCTTAAGAATGTCCCTACAATCTTTACAGCGATTAAGTGATTCATTTGAACCCAGTTGTCTATATCTAATATTCTCTTTTATTCTTGACCAGAACCTCAATATCTTTATTCATCCATTGTTCCTTAATTTTACCAGCCTTACCTTTCACTCTTAACTGGAACATAATGCTTCTGAACTCTCGTCATCACACACTTGAAAGCCTTCCACTTGTTAGACTTACTTTACCTGTGAACAGTCTACTCCAGTCAACTTTTGAAAGTTCTTGTCTCATACCATTAAAATTTGCCTTACTTCAATTAAAAATTCTAACTTTTATGGAAGGCTTATCCTTTTCAATAACTATTTTAAAACTAAGAATTATTATCATTAGACCCAAAGTGTTCCCCCACTTTCACTTCAATCCCCCACCCTGCCTTATTGCCCAAAAGAAGGTCACGTTTTGCTCCTTCTCTAGGCAGAACATCCACGTATTCATAGATCATAGAATCCCTAGTGGGGAAACCACCCCTTTGGCCCAACAAGTCCACACCAACCCCCATTCCCCTATAAACCCACCTAATCTACACACCCCTGAACACTACAGGCAGTTTAGCATGGCCAATCCACCTAGCCTGCACATCTTTGGACTGTAGGAGGAAACCCATGCAGACATGGGGAGAATGTGCAAACTCCACACAGACAGTTGCCCGAGGGGAGATTTGAACCCGGGTCCCTGGCGCTATAAGGCAGCAGTGCTAACCACTGAGCCACCCCTGTATAAGAAAAAACGTGATATTGATAAAGAAAATTTTCTTGAACACATTTGACAGATTCCTCACTATCTAAATTTTGAGTGCAATGATAGCCCTAGTCAATGTTTGGAAAATTAAAATCCCCCATTATTACAACCTTATTATGCTTACATATATCTGAGATCTCCCTACATATTTGTTTCTCAATTTCTCTGACTACTGGGGGCCCTATAGTACAATCCCATCAAGGTGATTTTTCCTTTCTTATTTCTAATTTCTACCCATATATTTTCACTGGATGATTTTTCAGAAATATCTTCTCTAGTTACAGCAGTAATATTTTCTTTCATCAAAAACACCGCTCCCCCTCCTTTCTTGCTTCTCTTTCTATCCTTCCTTTAGCATCTCAAACCCAGAACATTGAGCTGCCAGTCCTGTCCATCCCTCAGCCAAGTTTCTGTAATAGCTATGACGTCCCAATCCCATGTTCCTAAACATGCCCTGAGTTCATCAGCCTTATCTGTAAGATCCCTTGCATTAAAATAAATGCAATTTAATCTTCAGAGTTACTAGGTTCTCTGGCTTTCTCTTGTCTTTCTTTTCTAATTGACATGCTCTTTTCACATTCAGAACATTCCTCTTCAATCTTTCTTTTTACACTGCTGCTTGGAATTTCTGTGCTCTGCCTCTCTAACAATATAAAGTCTCTCTTAATGGAACTAGCAAATTTCCCCGCTAATATATTGGTCCCTTTCCAGTTCAGGTTAAACTTATCCTTTTTGAACAGGTCTTTTCTATCCCAGAAGAGATTTCAATTGGCCAAAAACCTGAATCCCTGAACAATACACCATCTCTTCAGCCATTGATTTTTGTTAGCTAACTGGTGGGCCAGCAGAGAAGAACACCCGAAAGCATATGCTTCCCAGACTTCGCTTAATGCTGAATGAAGATATGCTCAGGTAGAGAAGAAAGGTTTGGCGGTCATCTTTGGTATGAGAAAGTTCCACAGCTACCTTTACAGATGTAAATTTGTAATAGTTACAGACCACAAACCTGTGCTAGGGCTACTTAAAGAGGACAGGACCATGCCACCCACAGCTTCAGGTCAGATTCAGCAGTGGGCTGTTATTTTGAGTGTGTGTAATTACAAGTTGGAACACCATCTGGGATGCCAAGTGGCAAATGCATTGAGCTGCCTCCCACTGGCATACACACCACCGGAGTTGCCAGCACTAGGAGGTCCATTCTGGTTTTAAACTTTCTGGACACTCTTCCTGTCACCACTAACAATATTAGACTGTGGACACGAACAGATCCCATGCTGGCAAAACTAAAACCGCTAGTGGTGCTGAGGAAAACAAAACGGCCATCACGACCAGAATTGAAACTTTTCTGGGCTCAGCGAGACCAGGTCACTATAGAGGACGGCATATTAATGTTGGGAGCAAGAGTGATTGCCCTGTGTAAAGGTCGCTGCCAGATGCTGGCTGAACTCCACCAGCATCATCCAGGGGTTTCCAAAATGAAGATGTTTCAATAAGTTATGTCTGGTTGCCAGGATTGGATGCCTGTGTAGCCGTGTTGGAGGGGCAGTGCCCAGAGTACCAATGAAGACGAAAATTACAAAATTCTCCACATTCGTGGGAATGACTGTGTAAACATGGACTCAATTACGTGTCAACTGTGCCTAAAGTCGAATGGCATTCAGCATTAAGAACAGCTCCATGCCATCTGATGATCTGGCAGAAAGAGGAGTCCAAACTTTGAATGTAGGTTTAAAGAAGCAGCATATAGCGTCACTTGATACCAAACTGTCCCAGTTCCTGTTTGATTATAGGACCCCCTCATGCAACTACAGGGACAGCTCCAGCAGAGCTAATGGGGAGAAGACTCCATATGAAGTTAAATCTGATCTTCCCGGACCTGCAGGGGAGGGTGAAATGGCATCAGGAATACTAATACTGGACATGACTATTCTGAGCAAGAGAAACAGTTTACTTCAGGTGACGAAGTTTCATGTTGAATCCATGGGAATGGCCCCACATGGGTAAGGTTGACATGAGGTTGGTCTCACGATGTACAAAGTTTGCGTAGGAGAGGCAGTCCTGAAGATGCAAGTAGACCATATGAAAACTGCAACCACAGAAACAGGGCAGGAACAGACCATAATCGGCCCTTCAGAACATCCAGAACCCCTGGGTTCTCTCTTCTGCCTAGTGTCAAAGAAACCTCTGAGGACAAGATAGACATGGTAGGTGCTGCAGCCTTGATGCCATTACCACCTGAAGAAGAAGATGAATTTGGGCTAAGATGCTCTCGGCACAAGAGGCAGGCTACGGCCCGGTACACGCTACCAGTATCCAGGAACCGGACCTGGTGCAAAAACGCTCCAGGAGAAGCTACAGGAAAAAGCATTGACCTACATTCCAGGACTTTGAGGGGGAGGGATATAGTGATTGGAATGAGGTTAGCCAGGTGGATATCATAGAATATGAGTTCCCTGATTGGGGTTGTTAACCTCATCCAATCAGGAAGTCCTGGTTGACAGATATAAACAAGAGTGTCAGGGGTTCTGTTCACGCTAAGAGCCAGCTCTGAGGTAGCTGGGCCAATGTCATGTACTGTGCATGCGTAAATAAAGGGTGGCTTGGTGACAGGATACTGGCATTCATGGAGTTATTTCAGCCTGGTTTAAATTTAAACAAAGTTTGGCAGTTAACTATCATTCATCAACTGTTTGATACATTCCATTGGCAACACCTCTACCACTCAGAGTCCATTTGCCAATCAGCAGCCTCTTCTTGTACCCTATAAAATGTTGCTCCCCCTTTATATCCGCATTTTGTGAATGTACTGATGAATGCAAGTCAAAAAGCTTCGACAATTTCTGTCATTTTTCAGCAATACTCAAGTTCTGTAATACCAAATAACAGAAGTTTAAACTTACTGCTTATTTTTTAATGAATTATTTAAATATATGTTCAAACTTTTCTTTCAAAATTATTTTATTTCTAGCTTGTGCTTTACGACAGGAAAAGATTTGGTTGCCCCATTAGGGTTTATTACAAAACACCTTTCAAGCCAGTTTTAGAATTGTAAGTATTTGCTACTATTTTACAACAAAGTGAGAATGTTAGTGCATGAAGGAGGTGTACAAAGTGGAAAAGGATGAAAATTTTAAAAGTCTAAAGTCTTAAAAATAAACTTGACCCCAACTTGCTGCAATCCATTCCCTTTTGGAGTGTCCAGGGACGTCCAAAACTCTATCTCCCGGCACCTCACTTCACTGCCTACATAAGCAAGTTAATTCCAGGTCAAAATGTAAGAAGTTTCAGCAATGAAGTTAAAAACTCATACACCTATTAAATTTAGTATCTGGTAAAATAGAATCAGGTTTTACAACCCCGTTAATATTCAGCCAAAACTAAGTACCTATAATTTCTTGCAGACTAACGATGCAAGTTGTTTTATATAATGTTTTGGGCTCAACAGTTTGATTTCCCTGGGAATCTCTTACCCTTTTTCATTTTAGTCACCTTCCCATTTATCATCCCACCTCTCTAACATCTGTGTTGATTCCACTTGACATATATCTCTTTCTTCAGTTGTTGCTGACCACCAACCTCTAACACTCTCAAATTTCAGTGTCTGAAGCATTGCATCTTGATCTGCTTCAAATTCTTTAATTTAGAGGTTTTTCCATGACTGGTGACTCATTAGGCAAAGCATGTGCTTATATCTGTTTCAATAGCTAACAGGTCACCAATCTTGTGATAGAGGCTGTAGCTTGAAGGGAACCATACTTCATCAGGAGCCTCACCCACCTTTATTGCCTTCCACTTGCATATTGGAAGGATTTGCATGATGAAACTCAGCCTGTTTGACCTCGTTATGAACGCACCTTCCTTGATCATCAAGACCTGGAGTAGGACTCAAACCTGGAGCTTCTGGCTCGGGCACAGGAATGCTAGTCACTGAATTACAAAACTTCCCCAATGTCCTTTAACAAGGCAGCAAAAATAAAGTTTCTTTCAATTCTTCAAAAGTAGTCACTCATATCTTTCACAAGTTGAATCAGTTAATTTTAATTACACAGCTATTAGTGGTGAGCCAGAATGCATCTAGTAAATTGAATAATATATTTTGGTTTAGTATCTGGGAGATTTCTTTTACATGTTATTAAACAAAACTAATGAATTATTCTCTAAAGCACTGTTTTTGTTTTCTGCCATCCTGTGAATAGAATCAAGAGGTCCCCTTGCAACTTTCAGTGTGTTGTGCCTTGTCTAGTATATTTTTTTTTCAGTAAAGTATAATGTAAGTGGCCTTGGCTTCAACAAAGTAGTTCAAAATTGTCTATCTGCAGAAGAAATGTTTACATTTGACAAGGAGATAGCATTTGACAAACTTGGATCAGCTAGGGTACAGTATTATGAATCCTGTCACTAACCCAGTGTTAAGTAAAGGATTACAGTTTCTTTAAACTATAGCAGTTTGCTTTCACCCCTTAACGACGAACTGCACATGTCCTGGTAATAAACTTGGTACCTATAGTTCTCAGAATTAAAAACCCTATTGGCTATCTGAATATAACTAGCCCAAAAATTCTCTTAAAAACTGATAATAGCCGAAGAACCCTCAATAACTTACCAGCTCCTTCCACATAATCTTCTGCTGTCACTTGCCACTTCCTTCCCTGGCCGTCCCATTGCTGCCTCTCCCCTGACCTGCCCATTACCACTCTCCCATTTACTGATATTCTAACTCACTGCTTCTATCTCCTGCTTCCTCCTAGTTTCTGCTCCCATGTCCTGTTCCCTCTTTTGAACTCTGGTTAAGAGTGTAAGGGTCTGGGGAAGGAGTGGGTGGGGGCTGGGCAATTGGAAAGTTGGGGAGAGAGGCATTGAGTAGGAGACTTGGAAAGGAAGGCAGAGAGGAGGAGAGACAGGTATGAAGGTGGACAGCAGAAGGTTTGGGGGAGAGGCAGCGAGCAGGAGAGTCAGGGAGGGAGGCAGAGGGTGGGAGCATTGAGGAGGGATGCAGCAAAGAATAATTATTTTTAAATCAGTGTCAACATGTTCAGGAACCATTCTAAAACAAAGATGGAGAAAGTGCTAAAGCGAAATGTCCCTAATTTGCAAACCAGGCTAAAACGAAATTGCAGTAAGAAAGCTCTTTAACTGGAAATTCCTGTGGTTATTGTTAGGTAAAATTGCAATACAGAGATATGTTTATCTCCTGAAATGTTTAATCTTGAAACGTAGCTAGGTGTTTAAGTTATTCAAGTAAAATTTTGGTCAGGAATTGCATATACTTCAAAAACACAAAACCAATAATAGGATTAGCAATCCATAACAGGTGGTTTTGTATTTGCTCAGGAAAAAAAGTCCTGTTGTTATTTTTATAAATCGTTGGTAACATAAATAGATGCATCTAGAGCTTTTGTAATTCATTAATAGCTCGTATAAATGTATTTGTTTTTGACCTATAGATTATATTTGATTACTCTTATGTCCTGGTGCCCTTATTGGCTATTAAGTCTGGGCTCTTTCTTGTGATTACAAAAACCATAATAACCAACGAATCAAGTCCCCAACCTAATGGGCAGGGAATACATGCAGATTTCTATTTGGAAGAGTGCCAACCATCTTATCGGAAAGCAGTAACAATTGTTTTACAGTGCCGATGCTTAAAATGAGCATTAGGCCCTTTGAATTTGCAAGTATGGATCCTGATTTTGCATTTGGGCCCTGTAACAAGATTGATTTGCCATTAGGCAGCCTTCCTACAAGCAGAAAACTCAGAACCAGGGATATTCTGAGAGCATAAGTATATATTTCATGAAATAAAGTTATCTGGATGTGGATCCTGATGCTGCATTTAAAAAACAACACATCAATTTCCCAATCACCACAGTTTCTGATATTCACTCCCCAGCTTCTGACTTTCTTCTTCCCCAAGAAATTACCTCCTCATCTCGCATCTGATCTCTCTCCATCTCAAAACTACTGCTGACTTACTTAAGGATTTGGAGAAAGATTGGGAAGGAATTATTAGAATGTGGGTGGTTTATGTAGAATATAAATATTAGCATAGATCAGTTACTTTTAAACGCTTATTCTAACCTATAGATTCAATGTAATCAGAACTGGAGGTATAAGATGTTCATATATGTTTCAGAATAATGCAATATAGCTTTGTGCTAATGATCAATGATTAAAATATCAGGCTAACAAAATAGTTTATAATTTGAAAGATTATTTTTGCTTAATTGTAGGTATATGGGTGAAAAATTCCTCAGTAATGTATCTGCCAATTACATTCTTTGGGAAGAAGAGGAGAGGACCGACTTCTACTATAATACAACTATGCTACAGGTAAGTACACCATATATCCCAAATAGAAATGGACAACCTGGCCCACATAGTTTGTCCTGTAGCCATTTACTGTAAAATTTGGAAAGGCAGCATCCCATAAGTGGTCACAATTTACCATTCTAGTGGACACATCTGGGAAGCATTGCTCCCTGTGATATGGAAGAATAGGGATCTGGTTACATCAAAGGAGGCTATCCTAATTTGCAGCTAAAGACATCTTCTAGTGAAAGTACTGGAAAGAGATTGCCAATTGAGCTAACTTAATTTTCTCATTTTTGTATCCTTTGACTAACAATGAGCAGCACATACCTACTGGTACTTTCAAAACTTAATGATCAGATTGATACCCAAGAGTATAAAGAAGATACTGCCTAGCTAGAACCTGTACATTATAAATGTGTTGAGAGATATGTAAAATATATTTTCAAATTTGGAATTTGGATTTTGTTTTAAAAAGAGGGAAATATGGATGTGGGTTAGTGATGTGAAGGTTTTGTTTTAGAAACGGTCAGAATATCAGTGTTGGAATGGAACAGTGATCTAAACGCACTCATTCCGAGAAGACATGTGAGTGATATCGAGGGATTGGAGTATTAAGGGAATAACTTTGGATTTATGACAGGCAGTATATATGCATCAAACTATCTGTTTTGTTTTTGGTTCAGTTCAGAAAACACCAGAGTTGAGTTCAGAAGCAATTTTTTGTTTATCTTCTAGCATGTGCCAGATCTGTTTTCTCTAGTTTGTAATGGTTCCAAGCCATGAGAATTTAGGGGAGAAATTTTCAGTTGTTTGAATTGAAAAAGTTTAGGCCAGCAAAATTATGAAAGGTTTCAGAATTGGCGATGAATCAGAAAATTGTCTCTCCTGTTCAAGAGAAAGAAATTAAAGTTAAACTGAGAAAATGAGCAAATAAGTTAAAGGTATAAATGAAAGCAGGATCTTGTAAGTATGACATGCTTAAAGTGATTAGTCAAAATTTAGAACTAAAGATAGGGAAACCTGAAATTGTCACTGCTAGAATTAGCTAAGGTTCAGTTAGAAATGTAAAATCTTGAGCTAGAGGAAAAACAGAAAAGATAAAGAAGAAGTGAAAATACTTGATTTGGGAAAAAAAAGAAGAGAAAAGAGGTAGAAAGGGAGGAGAAAGAAAGGCAAAGATAATTGGAAATAAACCTGAGGAAGGGTCACCGGACCCAAAATGTTAACTCTGTTTTCTCCTTCACAGATGCTGCCAGACCTGCTGAGCTTTTCCAGCAACTTTGTTTTTGTTGTTGTTGTTGTTGTTGTTGCAGAAATAAACCTTGATTAGTAAGGGAGGAGAAAGAAAATCAGAGAAGAATTGAAAGGGAAATGGAATTTAAAAAGCTTGAACAAAGAAATAGGGAAACAAGACAACACAAAAAAACTTAGAATAAAGAAAGAAAGAAGAGATAATGGTTAACAGGATAGTTCTCATTCCAAGGAAGATTTGATTTGTTGCAATATCTGGAGTTTTTTGCCTGCAATTGCAGAGGTTGGTTATATGAAAATCCACAAGGAACTTGAGAAAAAGAAAATCTGTGGAGGGAAGAAGTACTAGTTTTAGGGAACAATTGAAGGCTAAATAGCACCTCAAGAAGTGAATAATAGGGGCATTTTTCAGATTTCACTATACCTATGGCAGAACACAACTTTCTGCAATATGTTGGCATGAGTGGATTTTATCAGGAATTTGTTTCAAAATACAAACTTTAGTATTCCTTTGATTTATTTATTGAAGACAGGCAAAAACTTTGAATGGGCAAATGAATGTCAAAATGCCATTGAAGTTTGAAAACTGCGCTGACAACCAAACATCAGTTTTAATAGCACTAATTTGTGAGAAGCCATTCAAACTGGCTGTTATTGGCCTTGACATTGGTTTGGGTGCTGTTTCACTGAAGAAGATGAAATGGGAATGAAATGGCCAAATATTCAATTATTTTTCAAGGAATTTGAATATGTCAACAAAAATATTCAGCAGTGGAGGACACTGAATCTTGAATTGGCTCTACATCAATTTGTAATTCACAAATCCAGATTGCTGATTATACAGATCTCAATCCTTAAGTTTTTTTGGAGAGATTTTTTTACAATATCTCATTTGTTTTGTTGGATCTTAATATTAGAAATCACACGACACCAGGTTATAGTTCAACAGGTTTATTTGCAAACACAAGCTTCGGAGCATAGCCCCTTCATCAGGTGAAATAAGAAAGAAGCACACAGAATTTATAGGTAAAAGATCAAAGGGTCACACAACTGATGAGGATGTATTAAGCAAACTTAAGATGCTGTTAAATCTTTAATAGTTGGAAGGTTTTAATTGATTAAGATGTATATGTAAATCCCCGAATTTCTTTGAAGTCATTGCCCTAGGAGAAGTAAAGGTTTTATAAATGTAAAGAAAAGGTGACATTTTAGGTCAGACAATGCATGTTAGGTGTGCAGCCTTGTTTAGAATCTGATTGTGTTTTGGTTTGGAATCAGACTGGTTTTATATCTAAAGTAGGAGTTTATAAAACACCACATTGACTGACTGTCTATAAATGGTGTGCTTTTTGAACAAAATGGAATATATGTGTGTTTGTGTGTGTGAGAGAGAGAGAGAGGGAGAGAGAGTGTGTGTGGGGGGGGTGGAGAATGGGAGATAGAGTGCGTGTGTTTGTGCGTGTGTGTGGGAAGAGAGACAATGTGTGTGTGTGTCTGTGTGTGGGAGAGAGAGAGGAATTGTGTGTGTGTGTCTGTGTGTGAGAGAGCCGGGGAGAGAGAGTGTGTGTGCATCCCGAAGTCCACCTTGGAGGACATTTACCGGAAGATCCGAGGCTGAATGTCCTTGACCACTGAAGTGCTCCCCCACTGGAAGGGAACATCCATGTTTGGCGATTATTGTGCAATTATCACTCATCCGTTGTTGTAACGTCGGCATGGTTTTGCCAATATATCATATCGCCAATACAGGCAAAACTATGGAAACGCTACAACAACGGATGAATGGACACCACATAACAATCGCCAAATAGAGATGTTTCCTCCCAATGGGGGAGTGCTTCAGCAGTCAAAGATATTCGGCCTCGGATCTTTGGCTAAACGTTCTCCAAGGCTGACTTTTGGATACACAACGCAGAGTCACCAAGCAGAGGCTGATAGCCAAGTTCGGTACCCATGAGAATGGCCTCAACCAGCATCTTGGGTTTGTGCCGCACCACACTATACACTCACACACACAAGCACACTCACGCATACATACACAAACGCTCTCACACAAACACACTCATATACACACACAAACATTCACACAGATCCTCTCATACACACACTGTCCCTCACACACAAACACACACTCGCTCACACACACACACACATACATACTCTTTCTCTCCCTCACACACATAC